GGAGATGGAAAAGAAGGGAGTTGGGATAATTGGAGAAGGATGGAAGGCGGGAGAAGGACACGGGGATGGCACAGGGAGGACACAGAGGAGGGACCCGGAGGTGACCAGACCCCTCATCCCTCCCCCGGCCCTTCCCAGCCCGGCTTGGCACATCCAGGAAGGGCCCGAATTCCTGGGATGGGAGGAGCGGCCGGAGGAGGAGCAGGAAAGGCACGAAGGGCTGAGTCAGCTCAGCCTCTCCCAGGGCAGGGCCGGGCTGGATTTGCCCTCCCTGCTCCGGCTGGGGTTGGATTTGTCCTCCCTTTTTCACCAGGGATTGGATTTGTCCTCCCTTTTTCACCAGGGATTGGATTTGTCCTCCCTTTTTCACCAGGGGCTGGATTTGTCCTCCCTTTTCCAGGATGGTTGGATTTGTCCTCCCTTTTTCACCAGGGGCTGGATTTGTCCTGCTTTTTCCAGGAGGGGTTGGATTTCTCCTCCCTTTTCCAGCCCCGAGGGGACAACACAGGGACACGGCCCTGCCCCTGCTCCCAGTGCTCCCAGTTCTCCCAGTTTTCCACCTTCTTTTCCCAAGAATTCCAGGCAGTTTTCAGCCCCAAAGCCTCGCCCTCCTGCTCCTTCCTGGGCCGGGATGATCCAACATTCCGTCCTGGAATGGTTTGGGTGTGGAAAGGACCTTCAAGCTCATCCCAGGGTGGAAGGGAAGGAAAAGGAGGGAAAGAAAAAAAAGGGGGGGGGAAAGGAGGGAAAGAAAAGGGGGAAAGGAAAAAGGAGGGAAAAAGAGGGAAGTAAAAGGAGGGAAGGAAAAGGAGGAGAAGAAAATAGGGGGGGAAAGGAGGGGATGAAAAGGAGGGAAATAAAAGGAGGGGAAGGAAAGAGGACAAAAGGAGGGGAAAGGGAGAAAAAAAAGAGGGAAAGAAAAGAGGGAGGGAAAGAAAAGAGGGAAGGAAAAGAGGGGGGAAGAAAAAGGAGGGAAGAAAAAGGAGGAAAAAAGGAGGAAAGGAAAAGTAGGGGAAGAAAAGGAGGGAAAGAAAAAGGGAGGGAAGAAAAGGAGGGAAAGAAAAGGGGGGGAAAGGAGAGAAGGAAAAGGAGAGAAGGTAAAGGAGGGGAAGAAAAGGAGGGAAGGAAAAGTAGGGGGAGAAAAGGAGGGAAAGAAAAGAAGGGAAGGAAAAGGACTAAAGCAGGGCAGGGTGTCCGTGCCTCCCGCAGCCCCGGGAGCTTCTTCCCTCCCCTCTTCCCTCCCCTCTGGACGCGCAGCAGCAGCTCCAGCGCGCTCCCAGCTGGGATTCGCTGGGATTTGCTGGGATTCGCTGGGATTCGCCGGGATTTGGGAGCCGCATCCCCAGAGCGGCTCCCGAGGGGAGGAGGGAAGGGAAGGGAAGGAGGGAAGGGCCGGAGGAGGGATCGGGATCTCCCCGCCCTTGCCCCAGCCCAGGGGTTCGGCCGCCTCTGGAATTCCCTCCCCTCCCCAAAATCCATCCCTCTCTTCTTGTTGTGGTAGATTTATTTTTTTTCTTTTTTTTCCCCCCTCCTAATTTTTTATTTTCCTTCTCCGGGAGGAGCAGCCGCGTGTCCCCCCCCGACCCCTCCAGGGGATGACGAACCCCAGCTCGGCCTTTTCCAGCGGCTCCTTGGAAAACTCTTCCCAAGGGATGAGCCGGGAGCCGGCCGAGACCCCCGAATTTGGGGGGACCCCCGAGGGCCCCCCCAAATTCAGGGCGATCCCGCCGAGCCTGGAGATCGAGCCGGAGCTGCAGGAGCTGAGGAGGAGGGAGAAGGACGAGATCAAAGAGCTCAACAACCACTTCGTGACGCTCATCGAGAAGGTCCGAGGGGGAGGGGCTGGGGTGGGTTTAGGGGGGGCTCGGGCTCGGTTAGGGGGGACAGGTGAGGGTTTAGGGGGGATAGGGCTGGTTTTAGGGGTGTTCAGTCTCGTTTAGGGAGGATAAATCTGGTTTTGGGGAGGACAGGTGCGGGTTTTAGGGAGGATAAATCTGGTTTTGGAGGGGGACAGGTGCGGGTTTAGGGGGGTTTGGTCTCATTTAGGGGTGATAGGGCTGGTTTTAGGGAGGATAAATCTGGTTTTAGGGAGGATAAATCTGGTTTTAGGGAGGTTTCGAGGGGGACAGGTCTGTTTTTAGGGTTGATAGGTCTGGGTTTAGGCATGTTTAATCTCGTTTGTAGAGGGTAGGTCCGGTTTTAGGGAGGATAAATCTGGTTTTGAGGGGGGACAGGTGCGGGTTTAGGGGGGTTTGGTCTCATTTAGGGGGGGCAGGAGTGGGTTTAGGGGTGATAGGGCTGGTTTTAGGGAGGGCAGGTCTGGTTTTAGGGGTGTTTGGGTCTCTTTTAGGGATGACAAACCTGGATTTAGGGATCTTAGGGCTGGTTTAGGGGAGGACAAATCTGGATTTAGGGAGGTTAGGGCTGATTTTGGGGCTGACAGGTGTGGCTTTGGGGCTACAGACCTGCTGTTAGTGAGGACAGGTCCGGTTTTAGAGAGGACAGGTCTGGTTTTAGCCAGGATAGACCCGGTTTTAGCCAGGATAGATCCGGTTTTAGCCAGGATAGATCCGGTTTTAGGGATCAGGACACTCTCCCAGCTCCCAGGAACCCAATCCCTGCCTGGCCAGGTTGGGAAGTTCGGCCTAAATCCCTCCCTCAGTTAAACCCGGAGTTAAACCCGGTTTAACCAAGCCGGGCAGCGTCTCCAGGGGGAGCCCCGGGGCGGGATCGGCCCCGTCCCGGCGGGAACCGGCAAAAATTCCAGGGAAAAAAAAAAAAAAAACCCTCGGGCTCAGACCCGGCTTAAACCCCGAGTCTAAACGGGGTATCCCGGCTCATCCCAACCCCCCCCCGAGGGAATTCCAGCCGGGAAAAGGGGCTGCTCCTCCTCTCCCGGGAGGAGGAGGAGGAGGGAAGATTTCTCCAAGGAAAACAAGGCCCGGCCCCGGGCAGGTCCCGGCACAGCCGATGGAATTCGGGATTGCCTCATCCCGGCCCCGCCGCCAAACTCCAGCGGCGTGGGAGGGGTCGGGATTAAATCCCCTGGGAGATGGGAGGGGTCGGGATAAATCCCCCGGGAGTTGGGAGGGGGTGGGATTAAATCTCCCAGATCTCCCAGGTCTCCCAGATTTCCCAGATCTCCCTGTTTTTCCAAAGTCTCCCAGGTCTCCCAAGAAAGGTTTCCCAGTTTTCCAAGGGTCTCCCAGTTCTCCCAGCTCTCCCAGGTCTCCCAGTTTTCCAAGGCCTCCCAGTTTTCCCAGGTCTCCTCGGTGCCTCCAGGCGCTCCAGCTGCCATCCTCCACCTCCTCCCATTCCCATTCCCACCCCATTCCCATCCCCACCCCCATTCCCATTCCCATTCCCATCCCCATTCCCATTCCCATTCCCATTCCCATTCCCACCCCCATTCCCAATCCCGTTCCCATTCCCACCCCCACCCCCATTTCCCATTCCCACCCCCATTCCCATTCCCATTCCCATTCCCGATCCAGGTGCAGGCCCTGGAGCGGCAGAACCGGGTGCTGAGCACGCGCTGGCGCTTCCTGAAGGATCAGGAGAATTCCCACTCGGAGCCGGAGGCGCGGGAAGTCTACGAGGAATTCATGGCCAGGATGGGCCAGGAGAGGAAGGCCCTGAGCTCCCAGCAGGAAAACCTGGAGAGGGAGCTGGAAAAGGTCCTGGAATCCATGGACACCTTCCGGAGCAAGTGGGTGACGGAGCCGGATCCCGGGAAAAATTCCGGAGGGGGAGGGGGTGGAGATCCGGGGGGGGGGGGGGGGGGGGGGGGGGGGGGGGGGGGGGGGGGGGGGGGGAGTTGGGCGGCTCCAGGTGGGGATTCCTGAGGGTAAATTCCTGGTTTGGAAGGGGGGGTTTGGGAATTTGGGATCCCTGGTTTGGGAATTTGGGATCTCAGACTCCTCCTGGTGAATGGGAGAGGGAAAGAAACCCGTCAAAGTGGAATTCCAGGGATTTCAGGAGCACAGGGAGAAGGGTG